TTCCCCCTCGCTCCTTGATAAAGGAGGGGCAGAGTTTGCTGCACTCTCCTCACTCTGGCTGGGGAGTGCAGGGGGCAGATGAACCTGGACTGCCCCATCCGGGAGACATGCACCTCTCCCTTGGCTGTGCCTGTGGGAACTACAGCGGCCATGGAGAGGCGCTTCTCATCTGGCCCCAAGGCGCTGCCGTGAGAGAGGACTGGGGTGGTTCTCTCCCCAGGGCGGCCTGTGCACTGCATCCCTCACCCCGAGGAATTATTCAAATGAAGCTGGGACGTTCTCGTTTCATTTTCTGAAAAACAGAAACTAATTGAGTTACAGACTCGAGCAACGTCGCCGTGTAGCTCTTCTGGTATTTGTAATAAAACTAATATAAAGTGAACACTTGCTTACTTCACGTTGTGTTGTAACCGAAATCAGTGGACCTGAGAGTGGAGGAAAACCATCCAAAAGATTTATAAGAAATGTAGATTGGTATTCTGTTCTGAACAGAGCGATTAAACCAGCATTAATTGAGACAATTCTTCTAATCTCACAGTTAATTGCTATTCTGTTTACTCGTTTGACAGTTCTACTTAGGACTAAATCAAGAAATCTGGGTGCAGCTCTGAATGTTAGGACCTCCGTGGCTGAGGGGTTGGGAGCCGGGCAATGCAGTTTCCTACATTACTGCTGTCATGGGAGGCGTCTTTAGTCTAAACATGTGGACAGGAGCAGGGTTTGGCTCAGGAATGTTAGTGGAGAGAGGAGGTGTCTGTACCTGGGGTGGGGGGCTGTCTGCTCTGTACCCCGGTGCCCCCCTGCGCTGTGATGTGTGGTTCCCACTGACTCACCCACATGTGGTGTAGTGTCAGTACCTTGCTGGTCGCTGTGGTTGCACTGTGGATGACACTGGCCTCTGCCTGTGAGCACTGCCCAGCAGGTGGGCTGCCTACGTCACTAGACAAAGACCCAACTGGTCAGACCGGTTGAGGGCAGCCAGGGAACTAAGGAAGGGAGTGTGCGGGGGAAGGGGCAGTTGCTGGCTGGAAAACATGGAGGAACAACCTAAGCTGAGGTCTGAGGGTCTAGGGGGAGGGGGGCGATGGACCCCCTAACCTCGGGGTCTGAGGCATCCTGGCCTTGACTCCTCTAGCCACATGACGTCTGTGCTGTACCCTGGAGAAGCAATAACCCCTCTCTACGCCACTGACTGGCGGAGCCTGTTCTTGCTGCTACGGGGCTGCAGGACCGGGGGGGAACCCCGACACGCCATCACAGAGGGCGCGATGGATCCAGTTGGAACTTTGCTGCTGAGTGCAGCAGTCTCAGGAATCCTCCCGCACTTAGCTGCTTTGCCCAGGCTTGGCTCTTTTGTATGTGCATGATCCTCCCTGCCATGCTGAGAGTCTTGGCATGCAGGAGGCAATGGGTCCGGGGACTCACTGGACTGCCTGGTGTGAACTCCCTGTGCCTCTGGTAAATGACAGCAGGGCCCAGCCCTTCACTCCATGGAGGCCTCTAATCTCCCTGCTTGTACCTCTGTCCAGTGATCCTGCAATTGGCAGCAGATAGCAGTGAGCCCCTGCAGTGTGGGGCTTGCCTAAAGACCATCTCTGGCAGGTCCTGCTGCTCTTTCTGCGAGAGGCAGGAGTTTGCCTCAGAAGTCCTTAGAGACCTATCCCTTCCCCCAGCCTTCTCTCTTCTACAATCTGCTGCTTAGCCAGCCAGCTGTCACCCTCATCCCAGATGTGGCTGCATTTCAGCGGTGCCCTTTGTGTAGGGTTGGAATGCATTTTGGGATCCGTGGTGCTGTACAAGTGCAGGAGGGGTTGCAGCTCTGGGCCTGGGGCGGCACAGCACTTGCTAGGGTCGTGTTGATCAAAAACCAGACTTTTGTTGCTGATCCTGCATGGTCCTTTCTGCAGTTGATACGTCTACATTTTCAGCTCAGTGGGCAATCAGTTTACTGGCTGATGTGGTGCCAAGTTGCTCCTTACAGCTTTAGATTCCTGCAGGCTGAAATCTGTCAGGGGCTCTCTGGACAAGCATATGTTTGTTAGTTATGCAGATATAGTGCACTTCAATCTGAGCATCTAACCCCATGGAGCGGAGAGAGTCAGCCCTGCCCTGCTGGTGACCAGTCCTCCTTCCCGTCAGAGGAAGAGAACCCAGCTAGATGAACATGAGAACTGGCTCAGACCAAAAGTCCATCTAGCCCAGTATCCTGTCTTCTGACAGTGGCCAGCGCCAGAGGGAATGAACAGAACAGGTCATAATCACATCCTATCACCCATTCCCAGCTTCTAGCAGACAGGCTAGGGACGTCCCTGCCCATCCTGGCTAACAGCCATTGATGGACCTGCCCTCCATGGATTTATCTAGCTCTTTTTTGAACCCTGTTAAAGTCCTGGCCTTCACAACATCCTCTGGCGAGGAGTTCCACAGGTTAAATGTGCATTGGATGAAGAAATGCTTCCTTTTGTTTGTTTTAAACCTGCTGCCTATTAGTTTCATTGGGCGACCTGTAGTTCTTGTTTGTTATGAGCTGAAGGGCATCTGAGGAGGTTGAGGCGTAAGGAAGACAGGGTTGTGAGCCAGGGGGTGCAGAGAGAAGAGGCGCCGTTATAAGAAGCAGGCGAAGGGGGAAAGAGGGGGTTTTGACAGGATACGAGCTGAAGAAGCAGAGGCCAGAAATGGCTGTCTCCAGCATTAACACGGGAGAGCGTTGCCTGCTGGGGGTATGAGGCAGAGGGAGAAGGGTGATGGCAAGTGTCTATAGGGAGGGAAGTGTGAGACTCAAGAAGTAGATTTGAGAGCAGCCTTCAACTTCCTGAAGGGAGGTTCCAAAGAGGATGGAGAGAGGCTGTTCTCAGTGGGGGCAGATGGCAGAACAAGGAGCAATGGTCTCAAGTTACAGTGGGTAGGTCTAGTGGAGGATGGGGAAGCACTGGGCTGGGTTCCCTAGGGAGGGGGTGGAATCTCCATCCCTAGAGGTGTTTAAGTCCCAGCTTGACAAAGCCCTGGCCGGGTTGATTTAGTTGGGTTGGTCCTGCCTTGGGCAGGGGGCTGGACTTGGTGACTCCTGAGGGCTCTTCCAGCCCTGGGATTCTAGGGTTCTAGGGTCTGGAGAGGTCTGTGCTTTGGGTTGTGGGGGAGATTTGGACGCATACGAAACAGTGCAGTAAAAATAACCCAAGCCCAGCCCCCTGCTGCCAAAGCCATTAGCACTTGGCGAAATAAACACTTTTTTTAAAAGCGCTGGTTATTTAAATATTTACATGTCTGCCTGGCCTACTTTAATTCCATTACCTAGTTGGAGTGTGTTCCTGGGACCGTGCTGTCCTTGGGCAGGGAACAGGAGACAGGGGCCCTGGCTCCCTCGGCTGCCTGTCTTCGGAAAGCACCAGATGCTGGGCAGGCACATTAGGGTAGCGCAAGGATAAGCCAGTCGGGCATGTTAGTGGATTAAGGAGACAGACATTAAAAGCCAATCACGGCTTCTAACTACGAGCGTGCGCTGGAATGAACTCTCCTGCCTCCGGCTTGGCCAAGCGCAGGGGCTGCCCTCGGTTAGAGGTGGCTACGTGGTTTCCGTCCTCTCCCAGGCTGGAGCCTGCACACGAGTAGACCCAGCATCTTGCAAAGAAAGGTCTGTGGGGAGAGATGCAGGAGGGGCCGCCTCCGCTCTCCTTGCCCTAGCCATAGGGCTGGGGGCCCAGTGACCCCAGCAAGGAGCCCGCAGCTGCGATTCTTAGGCTCCACTGCTAGCTCACTCTCTCATCCGCCCCTCTGCAAAGCTCGGGCACGCCCTGCGCGTGACCCGTGTGTGAGGGGGCTGGCTGTGGTTTGGAAAGTGCTTTGTGATCCTGGGCCGGGTAGTGTCCTTGCACTGGAGGTGGGAGGGAGGGCTTGTGGGGCCTGTGTCTCAGGGGTATTTCAGCTGCCCCGCGGGGCAGAAATGAGCTGCCAGACAAGCTGTAGCATCGTGCCTGTGACCCCACCTTGAAATGACCCCCCGGGGAAATAGATTTTCACACGAGGCCTCAGACCCCGCACGATGTCAGACTGCAGAACTGTCAGGCGTCACAGCCTGAATGCCGCCCGTGTTCTTGTGCCGCGAGAGGGCACCAGCGACGAGGATGCATTTGAACCAAACTACAGCGTCAGGCGCCTGTCTCAGTCTGGGCTGAACACAGGCGCACAGGAGAAGAGCCACAGACGCGACACAATGCTTAGGAAACCTGACCTGCCAGGAAAGGTTAAAAACTGGGCATGTTGAGACTTGAGCGAAGACCCGACGAGTCTTTAACTATGCTAAGGGCTGTTATAAGGAGCCCGGGGATCAATTGTTCTCCATGCCCACGGAAGGCAGGATGAGAGCCAACGGGCTTAAGCTACACCAAGGAGGAACTTGGTGAAATATTACGAAAAGCGTTTTACCGCTGAGGCCGTTAGGCTCTGGCATGGGCTGCCAAGGCAGGCTGCAGCCCCCCCGCCACCTTGCTCCTGCCTCAGTGCCAGGAAGGACCAGGTGGCCTATCCAAGTCCCTTCCGATCCAGCATTTCTGTGGTTCTGGGAAAGCCCCAACCCGGGGCCTTCCAGCGCTGAGCCCAAAGGGACAAGCAGAATGGATTTGTCCACCACCGGACTGGCTGACTCAGCATCTGCCCTCATTGGGATGGGAGGTGGACGGTTCGGCCCCGTGGCAGGGGAGGTACGTGCAGCCTCCAGAACAGCTGTCCTCCATGTCGTGCACCCGGAGGGGTCCTGTGCCAAGATGACGTCTGCTCCCCACCCCCACCAGGGCAGGATTCAAAGACACTTCCGGCAGCGCTGACTGCCCAGTTTAAGGCACTGCGCTGAGAGCAAGACTCCCAAGGCTGTGGCTGCCTGCAGGCGCTGGGGTGCAGGGAGAGCTCTGGCTCCTCCCCCCCCCCGGGAGAAGGAATCCGCAACCTGCTCCTGGCCTGCTTTGCTCAACGGGTCATGTCTCAGCTGATCTCTCTTTCTCCCTCAGTTCCAGGCCCCCCCGCTGGGATCAAAGCTGTCCCCTCTTCTGCCAGCAGCGTGGTCGTGTCCTGGCTTCCTCCGGCGAAGCCGAACGGGATCATCCGGAAGTACACCATCTTCTGCTCCAGCCCCGGGTCCCCCCAGCCGGTGAGCGGGACGCGAGGGAGGTGGGTGGTTGGGCAAGTGCTCGGCAGTGAGGGAGTAAGCCCCCGCCCTGGCCCCCCCATCCTTAGTGTGCACCCACCTGGGGCTGCCTGGCAGCACGGCACCGGATGTGGCAAACAGGCACGCTGGGCTTGCCATCGGAGGGAGCTGGGAAGCATTCAGCGCAGAGCGCAAGGGGTCAGAGAGCACCTGCGGGCCCCACAGCTACACGAGCTAATGGGTCAAGTAGAAGTGACGGTGGGAATGCCAGGGCCCCTTCTCACACCCTGCCTGTCTCCTGGCCCATTTAAGAACCTGCCTCCCTCGAGTCAAACCAGCGCACGAGAACCTACCACTTGAGCTGCAGGAGTAACTCCGTTAGCAGCTAGGAGTAGTGGGCTGTTATCCTCTATGGACCATCCCGGAGAAGGGGACACAACGTTTCTCTAGCATTTTGCATGTATTGCCTCTGGCTCATCTGGCCCTGCCATTCCCGATGCTCGTAATCTAAAGGCACCTTAGCGGCGAGGGCAGACGCCCACTGCCCTGCCTAGGAAAGTTCATCAGTTGTTTGTATGGTGGATTCGTGTATTTCTGTAGCGGGGTGGATTCTGTCCCAGACACCCCTCCGCCTGTGCATTTCTTCCTGGCAGGTCCGTGGGTCGGGGGCTCACTCCGCGCCGGTGGGAGGGATCGTTTGTGCTTTTAAGAAGCAGCCAAGTCAGAAGATACATTTTAAGATGGCGCCTGCTCCCCGGTCCGTGCGGACTGCAGGCATGGAGGCCCCGTGGGAGAGTCACAGCGATGCTGATGCTGCAGCACAGCTTCTGGTGGGGCGGGGCGTTATTTTTCCTGGGGAATTCTCCGGAGTGGCGGCCGTCGTTTGTTTATTCTGCTTAGGTGACTCCTTCCACGGGCCCTGGTGTCTTGGGTTGAGCGCCCTGGCTAGCCAGGAGCCCTTGTCTGCTTGCAGTGGGCAGAAAGAAAGGGGGCAGTGCCCATGTGTGAGGGAGGGCGAAAGAGCACGGTCACTCAGGGGGGTGCTAGTCCTCGGTAGGACTGTGAGGCTGAGCAGAGAGCCAGGTGCACAGCAGACAGGGGCTACGCTAGCTGCCCGTCAGCCCTGGCACGTGGCATCCGCTTTATTCCCGAGATCCCTGTTCCTCCCTCTCCAGCTCTGCCCCGATCCTGTTACCCCCGTTCCGACTCTGCTTTCCAGGCTGCTGACTATTCTGAAATGGGCAGAGCTGAAGGACGCCCTGCCCCAGCCCATGGAAAATTCAGGCTCCTTGTGTCTGGTACCAATTCCCCCCAGGTCTGCGCTACCTGCAGACACTTCCACCTCATCTCCCATGCCCGAGTCGGTCTGAAGCAAGCTGCTTAGCGGGCTCATGTTTTATAGATTTTCGTGTTCGGCTGTTTACAAACCTCTCGGAAGTAAATATCTGAGCAGCGTTCCAGCTGCAGGTGTGTGTAAGGGAGGCCGTGTCGGGCAGCGTGACAATAGCCCAGGAAAGCACAGAACGCGATGCCGCACCTCACAAATCAGAGGCGATAGCCCGGCTGGTCCGGAGGGATCCATCCCACTGGCTCCGTGTGGGACTGGTTCTCGCTGTGCGTGGGCTGGGGGTTTCTCCGTCCTTTCAGATTGAGGGGGGGGGGGCGACCTGTGCATGCTCTGAAGGGGGGGCCCAGAGCATGGGGGTGGGAAGGGGAAGACAGGACAGCAGCTTCAGCAGTGTTACTGAGCATGCTCAGTGCAAGCCAAGCAGCAAAAGGGAGGAGACTGATTCTGTTTGCCCTACACACGCGTACGCATGCGCGCACACACACACACACACTCACTCACTCTCGCCCTACACACACACTCACACTCGCCCTACACACACACGCACACTCACACTCGCCCTACACCCAGTCTCTCACTCGCCCTATACACACACACACACTTGCCCTACACACACACTCTCACACTCGCCCTACACATACATACACACACACACACACACACTGTGACGGTGTATTGGGGTTTTCCTGTCTCCTGCACCCCCGTAGTGGCACGAACAGACTCCACCAGCCAGTAGAACAGAGGGAGTTTATTGCTTCTCCAGGACACAGCACAGCACAGATGTCATCTGGTTCCAGGGCAGGCCTAGGATGCCTCAGCCCCCCTTGAGATGGGGGAGCCTGGGCCCCTAAATCCCAGCCCGTTGCCTAGGCTGCTTTCTCCATGATCCCAGCCAGAAACCTAACTCCCTCACTTCCAGCCCTGCCCCCAGCCACGGCTCCACTCCCCTTCTTCCCATTGTTCCGCTCCCTGGGAGATAACTGGTCAGACAGGTTCGAAGCCCCCTTGCATAATGACTCATCCCCTGCC